TAAAACAAGGTTTCAGAAAAAGTTTAACTCGAAGACATCTGTGAAACTTAATTCCAGACTGATGAACATCAGAGTCAAGAAAGCATTTGAGTTAAACTTATGAAAACAAACACAACAGAGAGGAAGAGGAATAAAGCTCACTATCAATCTTCTCCCCTACTTTCTGTTCTGTGCCTCTTAGGACGAGGAAACAAATCAACATGAGAGGGATTTGGAGAAGTCACAAAGATCAGCTGCTTGTGTATGCTGAGTGCTTTAAAGTGTTTTTTTTTTAAGAGTGAATGCATTGTGACCTCTTTGACCTCTGCAGCACATCAGCCAAGCGGCACGAGTGACCTCCCCACCCCCACAGAAAAGCTGCAGACCACTTTATCTTCTCTCCCTTAATTCTAAACTTTTTGATTAACAGCTCTTCTCAGATAACAAGGTTATTTTACAAATAAAGATATGTAAGAGGTGGTAGTATAAAAATTGGCGCCCTGCAAAATAAAAAAAATAAATAGACAAATAAGCATTTAAATGGATAAGTAAGAAATTGTGCGACCGTAGTGAATGATATCCCTTTTATTTCCTGACATTATAAGGATTTATTACAATTCGTGATTCACAGAAGAAATCATGAATAGAAAAAAGATTCATAAAAGTGCTGCATACTCTATTTGGTGTATTGTGTAAATGGAATTAGATTGAATTAATAGTTTTCATACCTTTGGTTTGATAAAACCTAGATTTAAGTACCAACTTTTTAATTGCATAATATTTATTTGTGAACAAAGGTACTTTAAGTGTCATATAGTATGTATGTTTTTGCAGTTGTAATTGCAGGTAAGTAAAGAAAAGTGGGAACTTTGCTGTAAAGTGAAGACTTTTTTAGGGGCCTACAGGTTAGGTAGACTAGGGTGTAAATTAGGTTTTGGTTTAGGGTCATAGAAAAATAATGCCATAGAAAATGATGCAAATGAATAGAATTCAATGCAAAGCCATGTGAAAAAAATTTAAACACACATGTGCCTTTGTGTTTGTGCTCCTGTTTTGGCATAAGACTGGGGACCTTTTTTCAGATTTCACCATCAAAGTGAGAACAATTGGTACCACAGTAAAGACATTTAGTTGATCCTCACTTCTTCTTTTGCTAATGGTTAGTTTTAGGACCAAGGTGTGAATTGATTTTAGGTCAAGGTTAAAGCTAGGTTTAGGTTTATTGTCAGGTTTAGGGAATAGAAAGGGCTGCAAATGACTGAAAGTCAATAGGTCATCACTACCTGTAGCAAGACAAGAAAGGATGTGTGTGTGCGTGTTCAGTCATCGAACAGCAGTATGGGCTGTGCTGAGCTGTACCAGGAACAGAAATATCCCAGCATCTCCTTCGTTTTCGAACATTACAAAACAGCTTTACCTCACAGCATATTCTTTTTATAGCTCCACTAATATTTGGCTAAATGTCTCTCAGCAAACGAAAGGTTAGATCACACATTTCTGGCATCACTCTGGCTCAATATCTGACAACTAATTTCTGCTCTAAGTATTATCTGCTCTAGGACTGTCTTTGTTAGGAGTCATATCCAACATCCAACTGGCATCTTATCTGACGTTTAATACTATTTAATGTGGTTAAACTGCGCAGTGTGTCATTGTGCATCAGAACATGATAAGGAACAAATATGTGCACAATATTCTAGTTTTTTTTAATAATTATAGCATTTGTTTTATTCTACTCCCATGTTATGATCTTTAGAAAAATAAATAAATAAAAATGACGGTAGTAAGATATTTTCAGCAAGCTATATCAGGCTTGCTAGTAACTTTCATCATTTTAATAAGCATATAAAATATACCTTAGGGACCAGGGTGAAAAATCATAACCTTTTAGCTCATATTATTGCACATTAAAATTGATTTTCATCAGTTGTTTTATTTAATGACCTATTTATTCTGAACATATTTTACATAGCATATTTGTGAGCAACAATTTTGTTATTAGGTTGGATGGAATGGGGCAAAAAATTATTTCAGTAGGTTGTGGGGTCTCCAAAAAGAGTATGTTTCGTAAACTTTTTAAAATGTTAAACACTAATAAGTTCTTATATTTTGTGCATCAAAGACCAGCATTGTTTAGTGCCAAAGATTTACACAGCTGAGACCCGAAAGCCTGATAAGATATGTTAGATCAGGATAAGAGGGAACACCAACAGAATGGAGAAGTCAAACATTTGACAGTGAGATTAAAGGTTTAAATCTTTAGTTTTTAAAGGGAAATGGAAACATGGCTGTTTTAAATCACCACCTTCTGAGAACAAAAGCACAAGGTCAAGAATTTCTAAATAAAATGTTCCAATTTGTCTCATGTATTAGGCTTATGAAAGAGACATTTCTTTCCATTGCTACAATAAGGGACCGGGCCTATATGTTCCCAGTGTCTGCTCCAAGCAGAACATTAAGATCCAGTGTGTAATGGGACTACTGAAAGTGGACAAATCCACAGTTACACTGACCAGATATCAGGCTTCAAAGGGCCTCGTCGGCACGAGGATGAAGTAGAGATTAAATGCTAAACACACACACAAAGAGCAGAAAGAGGGATGAGAGATGTAGGTCTCGTCCGACAGCTGAGATATAGCACAAGAGCCCTGGGGAGTTTCAGGGGATTTCCACGGAGGGAATTGGACACATCTCCTGATTTACTCTAACACTTTGGCTAAACTTACGATTAACGTCCTCACAAAGAAAAAAAAAACAACAAAAAAAACAGCACCAATTTATCTTTGTTTTTTATTTAAAATATATATATATATTTTTTTTTTACAAAAGAACAATAATGCTAAAAGAAAATTCGAAAATGTATTTAATTAATTTAAAAGTGTTGTGAACAGTTTAGAGAGGAAACAAAAAACATTAAGTTTTAAGTGAGAATTGACCTGAAAAATGAAACTTGCTGATCAAGGACGGATGAGGAGCTAAAAAAAAAGGGCGGCTAGAGAGAGGCTGAGAAAAAAAACATTAATTTTTATCTTTTTTTTTTTTTTTTCACTGAGAACAGAGCCAAGGAATGCAATGAGGAATCTGGAGAGAGATAAGGACGCGAGGAAAGTGGATGGTACTGTACTGTACTGTGTGGGTTTGTGATTGTGCAACTGTTAGTGTGTGCAGGGGTCTGGTTTGTTTAATCTGGCTTTTTTGTAGAAAGAAACAAAAAACATTTTTGTTACAAATAAAAACGATTAATGTAAAATTAATATATCTTTTGTGAGATACAGTGGTGTGAAAAATAATTTCCCCTTGTCCTTGCCGCATTGCAATATTGTATATCATGAAAAACATAAATGAATACAAAAAGCAGCTTTCAATGTTGATAATATTTATTAAAAATGAAATTAAACTAGACTTTCTTTGTGAAAAACTCATTGCTCCCCTTGTTAAATGATAAGTTAACCCAATTTGCTGGAAAAAGTAGAGTTCAGTTTTACCCATAATGTGTTTACTACCACACATGTAAGAAATCCAGAAATAACTAAGAGGTAACATGTTGGACAACATGAAGAAGGCTAAAAGTTATTCTAACAGCAACATGTCCTGATCTAAACAGGCCAAACAAACTGGTGAGATTTTTTATTTTGATATCTATCACTTTGGAAAGAGTTAGAAATCAATTTCCAGGCATTCGGGAAACATGAGTGGGGGTTAAGTAGTGGCTAACTGATCCAGAACAACATCTAAAGAATTGAATGCCTAGCTTATCTTTGTTAGGATCAGTATTTAAAACAGTAGTGTTCTATATATATATATATATATATATATATATATATATATATATATATAAAAGACTCTGGGCCACAAAGTCACATATGGGGGAATTTCAAGTTCAAAAATATTGCTGAAAAGAGACAGAATAAACTGATCTATATCAGATTTTCCAACAAAACCGAGAAGAAAACAACATAATTATCCACAACTAAAGTAAAGGTTATTGTTGTTAAATCAGGTTAACCAAGAAAAAAAAAAATACTTTTTTTTTTTTTTTAACAGTGTCCTGTCTGGCAATGTCGCAATAAGAATAATTGTCTTGATGCCAAAAAGAGCCCAACAGATTTCACTTTCAAAAGTGAAGCAGTACGGCTATCACCATACTGTTCCGCTTGATTTATGCATAGAAAAAGCTTTATTATAATTATGCAGGGAGTTTTACAGATTATATGGACACTGCAATGTAAGTAGAACAGGAAAGGAAAAACAGAAAAAAAAAGAAAAGATGAAAGAAAGAGGAGATAAAAGAAAAAAAAATAATATTAACATTCAAGCAATGTGGAGGTAGGCTAATGATGTGGAGCTTCAGGACCTTTGAGCAATTCCTGTAATCATTGCTCTCTTACACTAAAACCACCAGTTTGTGACCTTAAACTAAAGTGCATTAAGATTACCTTCTGAGTCTATCAGCAAGATCACCCCTGAATGGCTAAATGTACTTTGAAACAGCCTAGTTAAAGTCTGGGCTTAAATTGGCAGTTTATATTCATAAAAAATGTTTAAATTTTGCAGAAATAAATAAAAATATTGCAATGAGGATTGGGCCAGATGAGCTCCTTTACAATTAGGTAAAATTATAATTTCCTTTTCTGGCACATTTCTGATGGCACTTGCTGCCACTTATTATGGCAGACCTGGTAATTAGGCTCTGGATCAATTACTCTATATGCAAGATTAGTTTTGTTTGGATAAAGTTTCCCTATATAATGTGAAATCCTTTCAAACTGTGTTTTTTTTTTTAGGTATATTGTAGATGAGTACAAATCTGTCACACTGCAGCGTTGGGGGAGACCTGGGGCAAGATTAGCTTAGATTTTAAAAATGATTGTTTGATATTGCTTCAAATTGTCCAAAAAAGAAAAAAAGAAAAATAAAATATAAAACGGGGTCATTTATTTCCCATCCATTAAGGACTAAAAGCAACAAATAAAATAATAAAAGAAGCATAAAATCAGTCTTCAAAACATAATGATGTCATTGTTTTATTACCTCACACTCCTGGATACAAAACATTTTACTACTATTTGCTTTTTTTTGTGTAACTCAAAAACATCATTACACATCAGAGAAAGAACATATGAACATTTCCTGGATCCAGCTAAAGAAAAAAAAAAAATATGTCACTTAAGTTACATGATTTCCTCCATGGAAAGAGCTCAGTTACCATGGTGAAGAATAATTATTTACATCTCAACCATAACGACCTGGCCACAAAGCCAGTGTGACCCAGCAGACATATTTTAAAGCCTGAACACCCAGCCAGAGTTCTGCAATATTTACACACCACAGAGACAAGTCAGAAAAAATAATCACATTACTTCAAATCAAAAAGGTCGCGTTATAAATACCTTAGAGGAATCTTTTTTTGTATGTTTTATCTGCAAACTCCAGATAAGATTTAATCAGTCATAATTAAAGCTAGTTTCAGCTGAGCATTCTAAAAGTAAAGTTATTTTTTTTACACCTCTTTTTCTTCAGTAATTCCAGTGAAAGTGGTTGTTGTCCACAATGAGACAATAAATAAGCCGTCCCAGGCAGTGGAGGTTTTTGTATGAGTGTTGCCATGGCTGATACCCATAACAAGAACCCCCACTGTCCCCAAAGTAGTTTCACATCAGAAATATGTACAACGCCCAAAAAGGTGCTAAGTTGATGAGTAATTAACCTTTGACCTCATCTCCATTATGAAAGTTCCACTGAGTCAAACTTTATGAAGGTCTTATTCAGCAAATTCGCAAATAATTTTCAAATGCATGATCTAATGAATTCTGCAAAGAACTTGGAAAGACACCCTCGTTTTACGGCTATGATGAAAATGCTGATTCTATCAATTCACAGACGTTTCTGCTCACTGTTTATGACGTCACAGTCAAACTAAGAGGACATGCCTGCTAAGTTTGGATTCGTATTAAAATCTAGAGTTAAATCTTAGTTAAATTTAGCTATTTAAACAGTTTAGGGTTAAAAATAGAAGATAAAAATTTTTATAAGGTGATTTTGAAATGGCCTCACCTTCGTCCTTTACCTTTATATTGCCTTTTTGTCCCAACCTGCATCCATTTTGTTCTTGTCAACAAACCATCAGGAACTTTGTATTTAACTTTCTATTACAGTTTGTTTCATTTTATTTTTTAGTAAACATAAAATGCTCAAAACTGATCATTTATATCTTTTATTGTATTTTGTCTTCTTACACACTATTTCTGTTTAATGTTTTTTTTATCCCAGTTCAGGCTGGTCTTCAGATGCTTGATCAACCTCAGGTTGAAACAGTGAACCATCTCCTTTATCTGAGTATATTATCATATTACAGCAGATTATAAGCAGATTTTAGGTAATTACTTAAAATCAACAATTGATGAAGATGGTTTTCCATGAAGTGGGTATGATTTGATGCCTAAAGTTGATTGCATTGGACAAACAGGTTTTTATTTATTCTTATTATTAGTGTTTTAAGCTGACATATTAAGTCCTCACAGCTATTACCTGTGTACCTACAAAGATCTGCAGAAAAAGGAACCAGTTCGATAGAATCTATGTTATTGGTGCGGGAAACAGAGCTGGAGCCAAGCCAGCACCAGTTAAGCCCTTTAATTGGTTTAGAGGAAAGTTTCATAGTGTTATTGATCTTTTTACATGTTTTGTTACATTCTTTCAAATATTTCTTTCAAAACCTATAGGAATGTGAACCTCTAGGTTCCCTTAATAAAGGCCACAAATGGCTACAGAATAAGACTTAAAAAAGACCTTCAGAAAGCCTTGAGAATTATAAATCTGTACAATCGGAAATAAATCCAAGTCATTTGGTGCATTGGAAGCAAAGACATTGTAGATGAATTAAGAATTGTTGCACAGTGCTGTAAGACCAATTTGAGAGACAGGGCCTTGAGAACCTTTTAAACCAAAGCATCAAACGACAAAATGACAACAATAAAGAAGAGTCAGGACTGTAACCAAGCTAAACTTTAACTCAGATTCTAAGGCTTTAAAATGTTTTTTTTTTTTCTTTCTAAAACCTAAAATTATAGGTCTGCAGTCTGACTGTAAGTACACCTCAGAAAATTGGACTTCCACATCAGGCTTAAGCTGCCCGTTCTACAACACAAACTCAGATGGAAATCTGGAGCTTGGTGAGGTTTCTCTGGTGCATGTTGTGGTGCCGCACCAGCTCGTCGCTCCGGGCGAACTTCTTCTGACAGTTCGGCCACCGACAGTTAAACGGCTTCTCACCTGAGACAGGAGGACGGGGAAGGTGACAAAGCAAAGGTTGGCGTTATTGCATCAAGTTCCCTCAGAAATGTCTGTAACATTTATTTAGACATCAAATGGATGAAGGAGAAATGGAAAAATAAAAGTTTTACGCACTTGTTTTACCTGTATGAGTCCGTGTGTGTGTCTTAAGGTGGTCAGACCGAGAGAACTTTCTCTGACACGTCTCGCATTCGAATGGTCTAACTCCTAAACACATGTACAATAAGCATGCGCACACATTCAAACACACCAACAGGTCAAAAAAGGTTCACAACAGTTCAACAACACAAAAACACCCACACACCCACACACACACACAAACACACAGAGAGGGAGACAGAAAAATAAAAAGTAGAGCAAAGGCTTGCAGGGAAGCCATTCCAATGTTTGGCCAGCATTTAGCAACTTCATCTGATGTAATTTAAAACTGAACATCACTGCTTAAAAAAATGCTATCTGTTTAAAAGATGGGTGTCATGCAAAGAGCAAAAGTGAGCAACAGGAGAAGGAGCAAAGAACACAGCGGTGAACAGAGCAAGATAGAAAGCCTGAGTGAAGGTAAATGGTTCAAACCTGTGTGCCTCCTCTGGTGTCTTTTAAGCTGGTCAGACCGTGAAAAACTGCGGCCGCAGTCTGTGAAGTCACAGCGATAGGGTTTCTCCCCTGAAAAAGTGGTATTATAATTCAGCTCCAGATCCATTAAGTATCTATGATCGATAACAAACACGTTACACTAATGTCCAACTTGTTTCTCCACAAATACCATATGATCTCACAGTCGTTAAACTGTCTTAGTCAGAGTTTGCATCCTGGGAGTTGGGTTGGAATAAATACCAACAGGAACACATCATCCTCTAGATTTATTTACACCAATGGTATGAACAAAAAAAAAAATTGCATACCTATTTTCAGTGAGGGGGAAACTGAATAAATGTGGCACACAGAAGGATATTTAATGAAATCAGTTTGTTCAAATATCATGGTATTATTTTAATAAGATAGACAAGTACAGCTATTTTCAATTGAAGGGTTTGACAGAAGTTTAGACTTCGATTCCACCCGCCTCATGTCGATGTGTCACTGAGAAATACATTTAACCTAAATAAACATGTGACTATGAGTCGTTAAGGTTGGTATGATAAATTTGGACTTTTTAAAATAGGAAATGGAAGAACTATTTAGTGTTTACTTTTAGTGCTTACACCTGTTCACCAAGTTGAACACATGAAATAATTCAATAAAACAGAACTTAGAAGAATTTTCGGTAACGCTTTCTTTTACAGTACATCAATAACCATGTAATAACAGAGTAGTCACACTATATCACTAGTTAACAAGAAAAACTTTATTTGGTAATTACCCCAAATTAAGGTATATAATCTAAAAGTAATTGGATGTTTCTTTACTATCAATGGGGACTTTGCTGGGTAATTACCATCAGGTTACCACATAACAGTTTATATTATTGGCCACCACCTACCAATGGCTTACAAAGTAAATTGTAACTTATGATCAGGTAAATAAAGCATTATAAAACTGAACTTAAGTTACATATAGATAATAGTTTAGTTAAGAAGATTGGCTTGTCGTCTTCTAGGTTTGGTTTTCTGTTATATGTCAAGTAAAAAAAGGCACATTACTGGATTATAACACATTCATTTATTTCTGTCAGTGAAATGACTGCGTTACCTGGTAATAACGGTTTGACATTAAGACGTCTGACTTTACCTTGTCTGCCTAAAATTTAAAGGATAGCACTTACCAAAATTCTCCATAAAGTTTTTAATTTTATCTACTAATATAGTGTACCTTGCTATGTTATTACCATGGTATTAAATGGTTATAGATGTACTGTAAAAGAAAGCGTTACCGAATTTTCGTAGGTTTGTCGTTTGAAAGAATAGCATTGTTTGCTGTTTTTTTAAATTTGTTTTCGAATAAGTTGCTTTATTTTGATAACTTTTATGAATGATAATAAAATGCTCCCATCATTATTTTACTAAATGTAGCTTGTCTTTTCTGGTTTACTTTGAAATAGTTATGAGATAAACAAAATAAAATAATCCTCTATATTAGTATTTGTAAAGTACAGCTAAATTTATTGTCAGTATTTAAACCATAGCTCAGTCAGCAGTGAGGAGCTTTCAGTTCCCAGAGAGCATTATGGGTAAAGGTTCTGGCTCAGGGAACAAGTGAGGAAGTCTGTTTGAAACAGGCACTTCTTCTCCTGCTCTCTAACCAGTAGACCACAACTCCCCCCAAAACATTGTCCCCATTACGGGAGCTGAATGCAGGCCACCTTTTCACATAATTTCAAGACCATATGCTTAAATAGGACAGGTTAAAAAAATATTTTAAAAGTGCAAACTATGAGTTCACCATTTTAAGAAGATTTAAAATTCACTTTAAGGGCAATATTTTGTCTAACCACAGAGTTGTCAGTTTAAAAACCAGCTCTGTCCATCTCAGTTATGTGTCCTTTACCAGCATTTCCTAATGTAGGAGGTCAGAGGCTGTTCATGTTCAGCAGCCTAGCCTTTGCCAGTGAGCCCCAGGGCAGCTATGGCTACAATATAGCTTGCTGATTGTAGTTTAAAGGTGCTATATAAGTGCAGGCCTTTTACCAAAATTTCTTAAACAGTAATTACTAATTAAATATGTGCTGGGAATCGGGGGGACTACAGAAAGTCATTCCCCACAGTTTGGACACTGCTGTTTTAGAGGGAAAGGTAAAGAGAAAGCAGTGAATGCTGCACAATATGACATATATTCACCACAACATTTCAGCTAATTTTGCAAAAAAAACATTTCACAGGTATTTTTTGTTTTGTTTTATGAAATCACACAGCAAACCCAACTGCGGTATTGCGATTGCTGTCACCTGTGTGTTTGCGGCCATGCATCTGCAGGTGCGACAATTTGAAATAGCGCTTGTTGCATCCTGGGTAGGCACACATGAACGGACGCTTTTCGTTGGTCTCTGATCGGACTATGGCTGGAGCGATGCTGGGAACCCGCCGCACATCCTGCAACCACAAAAACACGGCATAGTTTTGAAACAAACACAAAAGAAGCTCTGAAGCCATCAATAACCAAAGGAGTGAAAGTTAATTAAAAGAAGAGTCTATTAAATACAGCCTCCGTGTAAATTAAGAGCATATGATCTGTTTGGGGAAGCATTACAATGAAATAGTCATATATTCATGAGATGGGAATTAGCAGTAAAATGACCCCAGAATGACTGCATCCCAAAGGGAGCAGTTAGTCACGCCTTTTAGGCAGACCCCCTCTCAGAGTGCCCCGCTTCTCATTTCAGGCGTCGCTGGAAGAGAATAACACAATTTAACATCCTCTATTCTAACTAGTGCACACACAACATGACCCTCCTTTATCTCTCTATTCTCAAAGTGTCTTCTGTCTTTCAACACTTTCCGTTTCTCCACCTCTCCCTCCGAACCGCCTCTTTCTGCTTAAAGGCCATCTGCTTTTAATTTCCTCAGCAGTTAGCATAATGATCACCCAGAGAGAACCCTTGTCGCAGCTAGCACTGTTAGCACCTAAAACACTATGGGTCTGGATCTGATTATTTGAAATTGTTGTTAGTTATAAGTGTAGTGGTGTACATCTCATGTTTAACTAACTCAGCATCTGTTAGAGGTTAATCTGTGCTTTAGTTTTCTACATATGAAAATCTCCTGTGCCAGGACATCGGCTGTTCATGCATTCCCTTATGCACAAAACGGGCTAAAGCTGTACATGCTTTAGACCACTAAATAAACAGCTATTAATATGTACTGGTTTAAATTCATTATAAGTCTATGATACGTGATTATTTTATTCATAATTATGGTGCTATGAAAAAAAAAAACCCACAGCATTTGTTCTACTTTATTTTTTCTCAGATGACAGATAAAATATTCTGAGATGGTTTTGAGAGATGAACTATTTGTTTAAACTCATGCCCCAGCAATTAAAATATAATTAAATACGGACTCTGACCCCACCACAAGAAAATGTTTAGATAGGATACAAGAGATATCGAAAAACACTTCTATTTTCCTGCAGTAGGAAATTCAGGTGTCCCAGTGGCAAAGTGAAACACAAGTGGAGGCACATGAAATAAATAAAAATGAAATAAAAAGTTTGAAAACTAGAATAGGAAACTGTGCAGTAAATGCAAAGTTACAACATAAAAGATGATACTGTACAATCATCTTTGAAGGCAATCTTAAAATATTGTGCAGGTAAGTAATGTGATACTCAAAATTATATAAAAAAATCTATCTGTTTATATTTATTTTCATGAAATACACCATCAGACTATTAACATGAATGAAGAACATTTCTCCCAACTGTGCAAGAGCTGATGAACTTCAGGGTTTTCTAATACAGAGCAGCTTCCAGACCAGGAATCTGCAGCTCCAGTCTTTAAGCAGCACACTCTGCAACTTTTGGATACACTCCTGCATGAGTCAAGGGGTTGATTTATCTCCTTGCTTTGTCCTCAAACATTGTTAAGCATTCTGAAGTAACCATTTATAGCAGCCAATTGTGTCAGATCAGGGAGGCATTCAGGTTTCAGAACAGTACCACTCAAGGACTGGAGTTGCAAAACCTGGCCCCAGACCATCACAGTCCTACCACCATGATGGATTGGATTCAGCAGGATTGGAATAAAATAGTAATTTGACTAAGACAGGTGACTGATGTAGACTGACCATCCGTTTAGCATGCATGTAAATGTTTGGCAGGTAAACAAACCTGAGAGTCCATCAGCACCCTGCATCAACATGAAACACTTCTGCCTTGAGTGGCTAATCACTCTGGCTGACTGTTATTAGAACGTTCCAATCAGAATGTTAAGGTGACACGTATTTAGTTTCCGACACGTCATTTCACTCCAAGTGCTCAGGTCCGTATGAAGGGTACAACATTTTTTTTTTTTTTTTTTAATGAATACTTTTGAATCTGATAGTGAAATATGTTGCATGTAAATTTTGTGATGTTTTTCTCTCATCTGTTTTTTAATTTCTCATTAATTTTGCATTTTTTATTATTATTATTTTTTTTTATCTTACTTCTGATAATACTTCTGATAAGTTTTATAAGTAATTTTGTCTTCCCACAGGTCTGGCTGGGGTGCAGCTAAAGACTTTTAAGCAAGAATTTCCGGTTTATAATTTTTAATCTTTGTTTTTTTTTTTTTAAAAAGCCGAACATTTTCACATTGGTTTAGACTTAAACAATCACTCTGTTTTTTGGAAATTAAAAAGCAAAAAACATGAGAAATTATGTAATTTAGCAAAACAATCAGCTTTTACTTTGTGATTCTTTCTCAAAAGATTCACCAAGGAAAATAAACAAAGAAAATAACTCTGAGGCTTGAAGTATGTTTTCATTGGCAGTGACTGTGAATTTGGTTAATCTCTGTCATAAAACTTAATCCCTAACGTTACTTTGCTTTAACTCAATCTTAAACCTCACCTTTTAGTAGCTTCTAAATTATCCCTTAAGGGGTGTAAGAGTGAGCTTTTGTTTATGCATTTTGTCCTGAGGAAGACCTTCAAGAGCGAAGATGGAACAGGATGACAGATGAAACAGGCGATTTCTGTTGCAGAGTAAAAGCAGGCCTGGAGAATCTCCTGCTCCCTGTCCTTTGGAGCTGCTGACAGATGGTAATTAAAATCTAATGATTTATTAACATGTGAATCCTCATATGGAATCTGTATCATTACACAGTTTTAACTCTATGCATGTGTTTCTCTGCTGCTAATGGATTTATGTTAGAAAAGAATCCTCTTGGTCTTAAAAGCTCTGTGCATTGATGTACATGTTTGTGAGCATGCCCTGCTCTGTATCAATGTTTCCTCCTTACACAACCTGCTCATTGCATTAGCCTCCTCATCTCCACAAATTAGAAAGCGATATATTCTTACTGTCCCAGTGGTGTTTTTTTTATTTTTCCGTCTGCCCGTTTCTAAGTTCTTGGAGAACATGTGTGACACTAAACATGAACAGAGAACAAGATGCAGGGTAACTGCACGCAGCCAGAGCTCACCACATGATGACCTGTTGACGATAAATAAAGTTGTGCAGCAGCAGTGTGAGTCCCACCTGAATGCCTCTGAAGACTCCATGTGTGTGTATGCGGTACTGTGTGCTGCAGCTGTACACCATGGGGGTGTTGGGGTCGCTGTCGTAGCCTGGTGCATGGCTGAAACAGACAAAGACAAACTACCATCAGTTCATATGAAAGACAATTAAATACTTTTGAACATCCTTATGCAGCATTAACCGAATGTCAGCAAGTAAACAATGCAACTAAGGTTTTGGTTTCTGCTCCGATAACACCTTTGCAATAAGAAAGGCTCCTTTTAAAGGCATGCCTGTGGACAACTGTAAAATTTATTGGATGTAAAGCAGATCTCAAGATCAAGAAGGTAATTTAGTGCAAATTTAACCCACGCTGGCGGACTGGTAGAGCATGAAGCTCTGTCTCACTGAGTGCATTCATTGTGTGTAGGTACGATAAGGTCAGGGAGGGAACATTATTCAAAAACATGTCACTTACAGCCTTTAATGCAAATAGCAGACCAGAGTTCAATCTTGATGTAACTTGTTTTTAATGCATTGGGGTAATATTTCACTGTTATTTTGTTAGGACTCCAGTAACTGACCCAAGTCGTGTAGTTGTTTCTGGGGTTTCTCTCTTTGTAATGTTGTTTTAAGAAAATATTTAAGCTTTTTACTGCATCAAAATCCAAAAATCATGATTTTTTTTATTATACAAACCAGAAGAACTTGGACACTTTAGCAGCCAGTCTATTGGATCCAACTCGCAGGAATCGGATCAAACCTGCTGTTGCCTTTAGAACTGCTTTAGTTCCTCATTGCAATAAATGAATGAGTTGTCAGAAACACTCCTCAGAGATTTTTTTCCATATTGCCACAATAGTTTCATGTAGTTGCTGCAGATTTCTCTGCTGCACAACGACGATGTGAATCACTCACCAAACCCCAAAGATTCTAAACTGGATTAAGATCAGATGACTCTGTGGAACCAAGAAACCATTCATGAGCCTCATAACATTGTGCTATTATACTTGAAGTAATCATTGGACAGTAGATGGTGATTAAGAGTTGAGATGATCAGCATCAATTCTCAGGAAGGCTGCGTAAACTAAAGCCTGCAAGGATTGGTGCTTTGCAGGTTCTAGATATCCCTTGGTCTAACACAGCTGATTCAAGACCCAAATAACCTCCACAGCACCAAGGAGGCCTGGTAATCAACAATACATTTTATTCAGGAGTTCTAAAGTTAACATGGGCCTGGCCATGGCTCCATTGGGCCCTAAGCCAAATTTTTATTTTGAGGCCCTCGATTTCTGCCAATATTATTGATTGCTGCAAAAATCAGTGTGAAAGCCAAAGTAACTTTATTAGTCTCCCTAAGATGAAAGTCTCATTGGACACAAAACACACACACCTAGTTCAACCTAAACCAGGGTTGTTTTTCAGTCACCTACTTGTATGCATCATTTATTGTTCCTAAAACTAATAAAATAAACTATAATGTAGATTATTTATTGTAGACATATCCATACATTCATATATATTCTTCCGCTTATTCCATCAGGGTCACGGTGGGGCCAGAGCCTCACAAAGAGACAAAAAAACCATGCCCAATAACATTCACACCTGAGGACAATTTCGAGCGGGCAAATAACCTAGCAGTCATGTTTTTTGGACTGTGGGAGGAGGCCAGAGTACCTGAAGAGAACCCACACATGCATGGAGAAAACATGCAAACTCCAGGCAGAAAGACCCTGGGTCGGGAAATGAACCCGAAATCACCTTGCTGCAAGAAAACATTATGGTTTGAAATATTTGATTCCATCAGGAGCAGGATTGTACAAAAAAAGCCTATAATGCAAGAACAACAACAAAAAACAAGTAACATTGCTTCATAAATATATATATATATATATATATATACAAACATTTTTTATTTTTATTTTATGTATAAGTGAAGCCTCCTACATGGTGAAAGATATTTTGATGTTAAAAAATGCATAATTTTATTATGTTATTGTGTGTTTTGGTACGTCATTCTTATACTTGCAAAATAAAAAAATAAAAAAAATAGCTAAAAATTGTTCTTGGAGGCCCCCTAGTTTTCCTGGAGCCCTAAGCAGTAACAGTTTGCTTAGGTGTTGTTGGCCCTGATGTAAAGCTGGGGTCCAACTCCAGGCCTTAAGAACTAAAATACAGCAATTCTTAGATTTATCCCTTCTCAAATACAAAATATTTTAATCTATTGCTTTCAACCAGTCATTTGTAGTGCAAATAAATACACTGAGAAGGGGATTTAATCAGTAAATGAAAATACAACCGCTCGCCTTTACTTGACTAACCTTTACTTGAAATATAATAATTTAATATCTGTGCTTTTATGCACCTACAGTAAGGCTGGAAAAAAAGATACAGGAAATGGAACTTGCAACCTGTAGTAGTTAGGTCATCCACCAGAGGGCATAAGACAAGAATTTAGAAGCAAATTATTAACAAAAACACAAATAGGTTTTTCCCCATTAATATTGGTAATATAATCTAAAATCATACTTTAAATGAAATGGAATATATTAGGAAATAAAAAGCAATACTCCTTACAAGGGTAAAAAGCAAAAACAAACAAAAGGGAAATAAGTTTTAGTTATTGCCTTTAGTTAAAGCTTTCCTCATGTAGTGTATCTCATGTTTTTCTGTAGATTCTTTAATGAATCAACCATCTTTTAATCAGTCATACAAAAAATAACAGTTTTCACTGAGAGAGCGCTGAACAAAGAGCGCTGTGTTTGACACAGCTGCCTGAGTCGCCTCCTGTATCTTCTTATGATAACACAGACAAACAGAAAGCTCCTGTCTATGAAATGTGTTATATTTCAGTGTGTCCAACTGAAGATGGAGGATGGGAGGGTTGTGCTGATGCAGTGGGAATGGACGCCATACAACTGGACTCTCATAAGGTATTCTTTGTCTACCTCCATTTTTCTCAGAGAGGAGGATGGACAAAGTTTAGATTAAATTGCATGATCCTTGACTCATGTATGACTAAATATGGCAGTATCTCATTTTAGCCATGATCAGGTCATTCAGTAATTTTAGGATCATTCAAATAAATTAAATAGAATTTAAAGCATTCAAATAGCAGATTCTAAGAAACGTCTCATGTATACAACTCACAGAAATAAGAAGTATCCTACATTCAGAAGAAAATAAAGTTATGTAAAAATAAAAATAATTTAAATTAATGTGAACCTTGATTTTCTGCCCACCAGCTTATAATCAGAGTGTTAATTTCTGATTAAACTGCCCAATGCTATAAGAAATATAGATGGATGTGGACCCATTTCTACTTTGCTACCTTGTAGAGTATGACATTAAGAAAGAAAACGGTGCTCTGTACTAAACAGATGTAATTAAATGAGATTTACAAAACTCTTGATCTAAATAAACTGTTAACTGTATGGACCTGTTTGTTTTCCACGCTTTCTTTTTTGCAAAATTCTACCTTACATGCATCTTATGGTATTTACTGAGTAGATGGTTCAGTATTTGCCTTACAATCCTTTCTGTTTGAATTAAAAGAAAGAATCATGTTCAACACAGTTCTGTGCCCACCAAGCAAATATTTGGCTGAAAAGACATTAAAATAGGACATGATTTACATCCAAATGACATCTAGATTTGGTTGAAAAGTGAAAGGTGAAAGGCTGTAATTTTCAGATTGCTGAAAACTGGGTTTGCAACATATTTCCAACGTCTATTATTGGACTAAAGTGGGTCAAAATCAGACGGACCAAACAAAGCCCAATTTTCAACAATGACCTGATTTAGCCTAAAAACCGATGTCTAAATGATGTTGGGTGTTTGGGAGTGGAGTCCAGTTCCAATCTTCTTGACAAACATTTAAATCAGCTTTAAAATTAGCAATCTACACATCATAAAAAAAGGAATACCTGAAGTACATTGGCGTTGATGCACCTTGCCTTATTCTCCTAAAAGCTCATAAATGCTCCTAGTGCATCCATCATTGTTTGTGCTGGACTGGGTGTAGTGGAGTCTAGTTATCCAAATCTGACTTGACTGATTGAATTAATCCAGGCAATACTGAGATATATAGAAAGAATTGCACTTTCAAAAAAAAAAAAAAAAAAATGAAAAAATTAGCTCACTACTGAATAACTACTGAAACACTGCTGCCCTATATAAGGAAACCAAAAGTGGATCATCATTGATTTTTTTGGCAGGACATAGAGAAATCAACTCATAAATACTTTCAAAAAATTTGCTTCTTTCCAGAGTAATGCAATCTTTAAACCAAAACCCTGTGGAAAATTAGAGGGGTGAGCTGAAGAGAAGAAAGAACGGAAGAGGAGCCAGGACTCTGGAGCGTCTGGGGAGATGTGCAAAGATTTGTCAAATATCCCTCTCTGCATGGACCAAACTTGTAAGATTCATAAATTCTGTCTTAAAGAAAAAGCACAAACGATTTGTACTGTAGGTGAGCAACAATTTCAAAAACACGATTTAAAATATTCAGTATCAAGCTTGACATTGGGCATGTGAACAAAAGTTGGGTGTGGTTCACCAATTATGAGGTATTTAAATCCTGGAATGCTCCTCCTCTGCTACCCAAACTCCCCTATGCTTCCTCTTCCTCATGTCTTTCCCTTCGTCCTGCCTCTCCTTATCTTTGGAGACCGTCTCCTCCTCTTGTTGCCCTCCATCCTCTTCCTCCTCATCCTCCCTCAAGCCTCCCTTCCTTCTCCCGTCGGCTGCTGCCCGTCACTGCCTACAGATACGGCTGGATCTGCAGTAGAAATCTGTGGCATCACCAATAAAAATCTCTGAAGACTGCTTTTTTTTATGGAATTTCTTTTTCAGTTAAAATGCAGCCCACAAACAAACAGTTTAATTGGTGAGAGCATGCCTGTTGGCTCGGATTAGAAAAGCATTTGTGAGGCAGTGGTGACTTTGACCAGCTCTGCAGGTCACGCTGACATACAGCTCAAAGTGAAAACTATAAGGTTTGTCTAAACATTGGATGCTGATACTTGAGGGATTTCAAATGCGTTTCCTGAGCTGATTTTCCTCAGGCAAAAAAAAGAGAACATAACTTTGATCTAAGTTAAAAATATCAAAAAATATTTCCAGTGAGAGAATGACAGTCAGACATCGTCTATTCTTGAACGTCTCTGATAAACTTAAAGGAAATAAATCAGAGCAAGGGATTGCATTTCAAAAAACAACTAGTAACTAAAAATACAGGCTATTGTTTGATTGTTAGAAATAAAAGCCTTGGTAGAAAGTTTTATCTAAAGACATAAACAGGCATTAAAATAATGAAATATAAGGAAGAATAAAATTAATCTTTACAACAATCTAAAAATGTTAGCAATCATGCTAAACAAATTCTGCAATCGACAAACACTGAAGAACAGGTAATACAGCTGCACAACAGATAAGCGTAACTGCCAGCAAATAATCAACTGACACATCTGCGTGACTGCATATTGATTGCAACCTCCAAACCACCGCAAAAAAAGAAAAGTAAAATGTATGGAACTTGTTGCCCACATCACTATTTAGCGGTACGTTTTTTGAAACCTGTCAGTAGGGCTTCATGCCCAGAAAACGGGGGAGAGAAGAAGGACATTGTTGAAAAACAAGGCTAATGTGGTCTTTATGCTAAACTTTTGGAAGTTGGTAAGGTGTGAAAAGCAATGATGCAAAAAAAGGGAAACAATTGAATCACCAAATAAAGCACCGAAATAATGTGTTGTTTGATAGGAGTAGAGTTCTTAGTGCATCATGGCCGCTCCATTCCTCAGCACAGGGCTGATTAACCTTGTCTTAAAAAAAAAAGCCACAGGTCAATTTCCTACCTCTTAAGGGTGGATGCCAGTGTATTGACAGGGTTCCATGCCACACACTCCAACTGAGAGGTCATTTGATATAAATTGTCTCCGCTGTGGAGGAAAGACAAAACGTAGAAGAGAAGCTCATGAGCTGCTATTTATCACGCTGATTGCCATTGATCTCGCTTTTGGAAAACCCATAAAAAAGACCTGAAATTCTAAATTTTTGCTTATTTATATTTGGACATAACCCACTGCATAATCATCACTCATGCTGGCCACATACATGTGTAAACACACTTTCTATCTCTGGATTTATTGCCTTTAGTCCCTCTTTATAAAGTACCAGCAGGTTCAGAGTGGGCTGAGCACAGGCAAAGTGGTGCCTGGTACCTAGCTCATTACAAAGCTATTATTTTACAGTGAAGAAGGCAGGCAGGCAGCCAGGAGAGGCTGAAGGTGCTTCTGCTAAAATATTGCAGGGAACCGACTCAGAGCAGTAATGATTAATGTAATGATTCAGATAATAATGGGTCAAATTATTTTCTCAGTTATTTACTGATATAAGCTCATCTTTTAAACAGCCGACAAGCATTTTTTTTTTTTACAGCTCTTTGTTCAATTTTCTGTGCTGTGCGTAGAGTTTGTCTCTGATTTTTACTCCGTGAGAAAAGAGAAAAGAAAACAAAGGAACTTTCCTAAATGTAAATAAATATAAATGTAAATCCCTTTATTCCCCTTTGCATTTAACTCATCCCCTTGGGAGCAGTGGGCTGCCATTGTGTGGCGCCTGGCTAGCAGTCTGGGAGAAAAATGTGAAAGAAAGTTCAAAAAATTTAACAAAGTTATAAAAAGTAAAATGTAAAATTATGTCAACAAAAGTTAAAGAGTGAAAACTGAATCAAAATGTCCATCATTTGGTATCAAGATCTGTCAGTACTTAAGCCATACAGTGTGAGTATTTAAACAACAATGTTGCAGCGACTGTTAGGAAATAAGTAGATCATATCTAAAGCAACATTCTTTATCATAGGTTCATTAATTATCACAGCGGTGCCAATATATAGTGAACTACAAACCATGTAACACGATAAACAGACCATTTGAATGTCTGACCTTTTCCAGCCACTATTGTAAAGTTTAAGCAATGAAACAAATCAAATAGCAAGTAAAAGCAATCAGAACTTTTAAAAGGCTTAATTAGAAAATACAGTCAATAATTCCAAAGCAATAATCTAATGCTCAATAACGGATATTTTCCCATTTTTCATCAATATGACTTGTAAGAACTGAACGTAGGCTCTAACTCAGGTTTGAATCTAGGGAGTTTCTTAAGCAAAGCTCCAAAAATGTCAATGTTCTTATCAATGAGCACCTTTATTTGCACATTTGTCCTGTGATGCCATGGTCAATCATGCCGGAAATCCAGGTTGTGCCTGTATTCATGGAAGAAGTTGCTTTTTGAGTAGGTTTGAACTCCACTCTGTAATTACAGTTGTGTCTTGTGCTGGTTTCAGAGGCTCTAGATGCTTCCTTGTTTTTACCAAAAAGGATTCATGTTTGACCTAATCTTCCTTCTCTAGAAAAATTTTATTGCAGATTTCACAAACAATCTGAAGGAGGGCTCATCTAAGCAACATTTCCCACCAAATGACTTTATGAAGCACTGCTTTCTTTTATTTTGAAACAGTGGCTTCTATCTGCACATCTTTTCTGCAGCTTTACCTTCAGCCACATGCTGCCATTTGAAGAAGCCATAGTTAATACAAGAAGATAAAAGGTTCTCCTTTTTTGTATCTTATTTATGCATATTGTTTAGCTAATCAAAGTAATAAAATATCAGTTTTTTATCTGACTATAATGAGGAGAATCTTTTAACAAAGAAAAATCTTCCCTTAGTGAAGAGGAGGCTTCTGCTCATTTGGCTCAATAACTTGAAAAGACTGCAAGTTGTAAACACAGAAACCACAAAACTGACAAAACACCACATGATGTCTCTGCAAAACGTGAGTTTTTGGGCAACACACTTCTTTTTTATGAATTGATAGAACATCCTGCTCAGTTTAAAGCTTCTCATTCTGTTCTTTACTTTGATAAAAGCCAGAAAGCCTCTCTTTTTCTCTCTCTCTGCTCGGATTAATAAGCCCTCTGCATGTTTTCACTTCATGTTGTTCCAAGCTGATGGCCCGGAGAGTAAATACAGGCCTGATGGTACCAGGCTGCAAGATTAGACGACTGACTTCACTCACATGAGACTTTCCAGCCATGTGTGTATATGTGCCTGTTGTGTAGATATCAGTTATGTTTATGAAAAAAGACAAACTTCAGACTAAGAGTCAGGATGGTCTTTCTCCCTTAAAACACACTCTGAAGCCTTAGAATCCATCCCAAAAGCAGATTCTTTATTTTTCCATTTACAGAAAACACAGAATCGGTGGCATGTAAAGAATTTCTCATCTTGAGACAAAGCAACAAACAGTTTGCGGAGCAAATGATAAGGAGGTGTGCCTCCTAAAAATGTACTGCACTATTAACTTCTTAGGTTTATTACTGAGATCCAATTTTTATGACATTTTTGGCTTGGAGAGGGTAGAAGTTTCCTGAAATACATTTTTGTATTTGTCTTAGATCTAAATCTGAGGTTGTTGACCCAAAGTTATGACAGTGAAAGAATGAGCACAGACAGACAGTAGAGATGCACATTTTACAGAAAGTTTTGTGTCTGTAACTGAAAGAATGTCAAGTTTTAATCAACCTTATGCACGGGAAAAACTGTCAAGGAAAAGAAAATTATCCTGAAGGAAAAAACATCTCTAATAAGGAATTTTTGTTTTTTTTACTGTAATTTTTAATGTTTTTTTTAGCTTTTTTCCCCACCTAATTTTTTTTATTGTTTTTCTAATACAAAACAATATGTATTGTCACTTTGTCACTTTTTGGCTGTTTTTTACTTCTGTGTAGCTTAGATTAAAATGAACAAACTAAACAATCTAACACCACATCTTTTGTATCATACATTAATTTGTACCCATATTTTAAACTACCTTTAAGAATTTGTGATTGAAAGATATGTTCCGTGACCATATTGAGTGATTGTCTATAATCCCTAAAGATGGTTTTGTGACTAAAAAATAAGATCTACCTGAATGAGGTCATTCAGAGTTGTTCTGGTTTGATCATCTGTTAAATTCCCAACTGGTTTAGACAAAGATTAGAACCATTGTCAACAAGAATTAAGGGAAATATTCAGTCTTTAGATACAGATAGTTCAAGTCAATATGCAATTTTAGTTAACAGAAAAACTATTTGTCTTTATAAAATAAAAAAAAAATAAAAATACAACACTACCAGGAGGGATAGGAATAATACATTATGGCTTACTTCATGGGTTTCTGATGGTTTGTCTATGGGGGAGAAATAGAGGACATGGATGAAATGGAAACACGCAGGTAAGATGAGGCGGTATGAATTACTGAAGGGATTTCAGGTGCTGCACAGTATGTTTCATTATATTTCTTTGAATATTGTTTTTTTTAAAGAAATTACAAATTTTCTTTATAAAAATATGAAATAAAAGAAGGTCAGACTTAGAAGAGTCCTAAATTTCTATGCTAGAAATTGGTTTAAAGTGTTGAAGTAAAATCCTGTTAAAACTATCGAATTTGAGCATCAGAACTTCTGTTTTTGTAAAAAATTAAGTTACTCACATTTTTTAAAGAAAAGACCAAATATTTAAAAAGCAAAACAACAATCAGGGCATAAGTCAAAGTTGATGCATAGCTTAACAGTAGAAAACTGTTTAAATAGGTGCAGTTACTCTCAGCAATCTTAAATGAGATTAACATTTTTTTAAACATAGATTTAAGCCTTTTGTAAAATGTTTTTTTTTTTTTTTTTTTAATCACCTGATGTCAGTCTAGACATTTCTTGGCAATTATGGTATTGCAGTTTTTGTATCAACTTAAATGTATACGTTTTATAACCCCAAAAGGTATTCCAATAAGTTATTAAACAACTTAAGGACATTTAGGTCATAGAGAATGTTCAAAGTTGTTAAGATACAAATGGACAATAATCCCAGACACCAACAATTAAAATGAAATCAATTAAATCCCAATTTTGAAGTATTTCTGTACTGTAGATGGCAGTTTGTTTTCTACTTTTCATGTATAGTAGACACTTAAGAGTTTTAACCCTGTAAATGCTTAGCTTAGAAAGAAATATATATTTTTTATTCTGAAGATTAAGCACTAAATGAACAGAAAAAAGGAACCATGCACAAAAATAAAAAAAGGAAGCCGCAGTGGCAGACAAACCTATCCAGAAGGTGAACATCCTGTTTTAAACTTCATCCTGCTAACTGCCACTGAATCACTGATGTTGCAGAAACACAATCAACAATGGATTCAGAACATTTCCGGCTTTAGTTGAAGCTGTAGCTTACTCTAAAAATATGATTTAGAGGGTGTTTGCAGTGTAGTAGGGATGCAGAGGGCAAATGTTTGGGTGTTACCTGTTGTAGGGGTTCCTCAACAGCAGAGCCTGGCTGCTTGTGCAGCTGTCAGAAGGTGTGTGACATCCATAAACGGGAGGAGGTACGGGATACTGCTGGTCACCTGGGATATTTAGAAAGTTGGAATGTATATCACATGCATATATCTCAACTTAAACTATTAAAATGTACAATCATTTCCTGGAATTCCCTGATTTTTTAAACATAATGAAGCAGTTGTTCTCACAGTCGGTGCTAGCACTGTGGTACCCGAAGCAATACTGTATGTGCATATTTTCACTTGCCAATGTCTCCAAATGTCCGCCCTTTTCACTATATAGGGCACTATATGGTGATTATGCCATTTGAAATGAGTTTCAGAACACTTAGTGGATGAAAAAGTAGTGGACTCAAAATTTCCCACAATGCCCCTTGAAAAGAAGTGATCATCCATGGTCACTAGATGAGCAGACAGATCCTGGAATGCTTTGCTCTCCCCACAAAGCATTAAGGGATTTGGTGTCACAGCGGCCCACTGTCAGGTAGCGACAGTAGCAACTAATAACAAAGATGGCGCAGGCACCACACGGTGGAGGCGGAGTTACGTGATCAACAGGGAGCGAAAAGTAGTTATCATTTGTCCGAATGGTTAGTTAACTGAGTTCACTATAAAGTCCACTATATAGTCCGTGCTCTACATTTTTGTTCCAATAATCCACCGTTCAGCCCAGAGTCAAATTATAGGAGAAAAAAGCAAATAAGTGCACTCATTACTTGTCTGATAGTTTTCTGTGCATCCCAAAGGCAGCAGCAGTGTGCACTTGCCAGATATGATCCCTATACAGAGAAGACACATGCAAAGAAGAAATGTTTCATGCATCTTCTCTGTATAGGTGAAATTTATTTTCACCTACAGCAGCACATAAGGCTAATGCATAGGTCCACAACAGAAATGGTTATGTCTTGCCACCACGCATGATCCAGATACTGATTTTAATACATATGTTTCTACTCTCCTTTAGGTTGTAAGTAGGGCTCAAACAATTAAGTGGATTGATCATTAATCAATTGTTGAAATGATTATCGATAAATCATTAACTGGAGTCTAAAATATGCCTTTAGCTGACAGAGCACTTAGAGCAGTAATTATATCAAAATTGTGAAAAAAAAATATGTAAACATTTTACATTTAGGATAAAACTACTTTTTCATCTGTCAACAGGCTCTATAAAGGATCTCCTAAAGAGGAAAAATTCTTGATTTGCCTGGTTTAATTCATAAAAAATGTTCTTTATGGGTCCTTTTGCTATGTGTTAAAGTTTCAAGAGATTAATCAATTTGCTCAATAATTGTTATTTGCAGCACTTATTGTAAGCGTTTTTGTCATTATTTTCAACAATAGGTTTGCAATCTAAGCCTCGCCTCTAAACAGAGATTATTTCTCCTCTGTATTATTTGGTTTGATAGGGCACATATTATCAGACTGGTAACCCAGAGAAAATGTGAATCCCTTATAGCTCTGGTCCTCACCGCTTTTCCTTTGTGTTTTCATTATTTTGTTTTAAACAGAGGCAGACTATCTGTATAAGTAGCCATTTGGTCACTTCAGCCATGTAGCTTATATGGTGACGACATATCAAAACAAAGTGTAGCCATACAAAGACCATCTACACGTCAATTTGGGCTGCTGTATTTTTCACACAAAACAGACTGAATTAAAACACAAAATTAAAAAAAAAACTCCAAGACTGTCATTTAGAGTGACTACTTCATATTTTCTACATATTTTACAATAAAACAAAAATCTAATCTTCTTAGTTTAATGTTTTACCACTTTTGATTTGTTTGTCAATGACAACTTGTCCCTATGTTACTCATCGAGTGCCAAAAATTAAAATATCCGCATTCCTATAAGACACACTCTTATTAGAGGTATCTTTTGAAAGTAACCTTTAAGAAAGTGTTGAATCAGAATCAACTTTATTGGCAAAGAATGTGTGAAAGCATCAGTCTAAATTGTACTAAACTATATAATGTATTTTATTTATTGAACTGATTCATTGAAATAAGTTAACTTTTCAATATTATTTATTAGTATGTCTCTTTTTATTGGTGTGGACTGCGATGGTGTTTTAAACACTGTAAAACAACATCCTTCTTTGTCTATAAAACAAACTTTAAATACAGGGACAATAATTTAATTCAGTTTAGAAAGTCAAGGTAACTGTAATCTTTAGCATACTTGAGGTAACTATCTTTACTGTAGGTACTAAGTTATTTCCACAGGTGAAAGTTCTGTTAACTTTTGTGCTTTTGTTGCAAAATGTTGGAAACTTTTAGAGTTGACTTTTGAGTTAAAGGTGCAGGGCTCTTTTCATTTTTTACCATATAAATTGCTGATAAAGAGATGCTGCCATAAGAAATAATATTGTATGTCTTGTACAACGACAATAAAGCTTCTTATTAATTTCTTATTCAGGTATAAATTTGCTTATAACTAAGTTAAACTAACTTGTTAGAGAGCTGTGCATTTGCTGTTGGTGGTTTGATTCTCAGACTTTTACTGTTTCTGAAAATAAAAAAAATGAGGAAGACAAATGAGGATGAATTGCTGGATTCTTTGGTCCAGCCTAAATATGTCAACCTTTTTAAAATAAAAAGTAGAATTCTGAGTAAAAAGTTTAAAATTTGTAGTTTATTCATTATGTTTCCAACTCATCACTACTTTCATATAAAGTGGAATAAAAAAGAATTTGTAATTTGGTTACTTAATAGCCAAACTTAAAGTCCTGAAGGTTGTCGCCATAACAGAAGCAATAAACCAACATTTTCCATCAGGTAGGCTGTTGAGCACTGCCTGTAGACCAAAACAAGATGTGTGACAAGTGATGCCTCTCTCTACCCTACTTAAGCTTCTACTCCACCCATCTTATCCCCTCCAGCTTAAAAGTATGGCTTGGGAAATTCTGATTTAAGTTAGAAATGTTGAACTTGCTAAGTCACATTACAGTGAAAGATTGGGACTGAATATTCTGTATATCTGTGGATAACAAAAATTGTAGTTTCTGCATCTAACAATAAACTTGCTGTAAGTGGCTAGCAAGTTAGCATGTACGCAAAGGTGTTCTGATGCAGATTTGAACAAATCTTTTGAAAACTTTGTCACAGTTAATCCTGAGAGCAGAATTAATGATTTAGAAGTTTTAAATAATAAAGAAACATTATTAAGAACACAATAATGTGAAGACCTGAATAGTTTTTTTCTATTGCAGAGTAATAATAAATGCTACCACTATGCCAAATCTAAAACCTCAAATATGAATTTTTATTGTCTTGTGTTAATAATGGAGGGTGGATAAAAGCTGTGAACCCAAATAAAAAAATCACACTGTTTTATTGATCTTTCAGGAGCTGATTGCTCTATAAATAATAACTAAATATGGCATGATTTGATCTTTAAGTTTGTTTTGCTGAAGTTTAATAAAAGATAAATATTTTATTTGAAGCCCAAAGATAACCTACAGTAGTTTCCTTCATAGGTCTCAGAAACTGTCGCAAGTAACCAAAATCCTAGTTTTAAAACTTCCAATACGGCTTGTCTTTCAATAACCGTTAGTTCAATTTTCATTATAGGTGTCAGGTTTGGTCCCACTGACTCATATAAAATGATTTCAGAGATATAAGGGCTGTCTAAAATCCAGTTTTACAGTTTTTTGCCTGCAGTTCCCCAGAGGGCTTAAAAGAAAATACCTCTTTTCACGGAAATTGGTGCTACTACTGTAATTACCCTGCTTGTTCACAAGAACTTATTTACAAATATCGAGATAAAAAATAGCAAATTGTTCTTATCAAACCTAAAAAGAAATAGAATGAATAAAATAGACTACAGCTTTTCATTGTGAGTGGCAAATGAGGGCATAGTTAGAATTTAGTGGTACCTTCTGAATCAGCCCTTAAAAGCCATTTAAGTGATTCTAATTGAAAATAGGCTCTTATTTTACCATCTGTAGCTTCATATAACATGATTAAAACGTAATGTTGATCTTCTACTCTAAGAGATGATGATTTAAGTTGAGATTCACAAACTTTTCATTCTATTCTTAAAAAGCACAAAAAAGTGCCTCTTTCATAACATTTTGGTAGAGGCGCTACTACTAGAGTAAAAAATATAAATATAAGGTAAACCAAGGTTAAAATAAATAAGAGCTCAGATGTTATTCATTAAGGAAATTTCTTTATCTTTTAAACAGGTCATGATTTTCTCACAGATGTTTGTTTTCATTTTACTTTTTTTTATCAGGTTGTGCATTTTTCTTTCTTTTTTTCCTTTTTTTTTTTAAAAGAAAATACTTTGAGATAAAACTAAATCTGAAAAAACAAAACAAAACCCCTAAAAAAGGATGTAGCCAAGATGGTTCTACAGATATTCATTTTTTCCTTTTTGAAAGTGTTGATTAGAGTTTTTGAAAAATAGACAAACAGTGGCTTCAGGAAAAAGATCTTTCTGGTCGCTTTTTCTGAAGCAATATAGTGAAAACTTCAAAGCTTTTCTTAATTTTTCATAGCCTTGTTTCCTGTAAAATATAAATAAAAGGATGGAATTTGCAATAATTATAGCTACAACTCCACCAAAACTCACATTTAAATGTTTACTAACAACATGCATAGGCCGGGGTCTATACAGATTGTGGGTGGATAAAAGAAGAGATGAGAGATGGAGACAAGGGAGTTTGTGAGTCAGGATGTGGCTGATTTATACCTCCGACAGGCAAGGTCACAGCAGAGACGTCAGAAAAAGGGACAAGACACTCCCCTGGCGAGGGCCGAGGGACTACCAAATACAGGGTCCTGCTCTCACACTGGGGCTCAAAGTACACAAATAAAATTTGGATCTTATTAAAACAAGCTTTAAAGCTTTGTTCTCTTGATAAACAGGATAAAATTGATGTCAACTCTGTGTCAAGCTTCATATTTAGATCTGTATTTATTTATGATAATATTGTACATTCACAGCAAAATCGGCTTAACTACAGGAAATAAAGTTTCTAATCTTTTTTTTTTACATAAAAAAGATTAATACCATGTTTGAATTGTCGTGGGTCACTATTCGCATTGTGATGAGTGGGGAAAAAAGCAAAATGCAGTTAAAGCTGTTAAATATAAACCTGTATTGTGCTAATGAGTAAAGTCTGCGTATGAAAAAATAATTTTCTTCATACCACAATTTATTTTTTTTTCATTAAAAACGTATCTACAGTGGTGGAATAATATTAAAAATAAATTAATATTTGGCGATTCTTTTAATGTTCATAAATATTTAATAAGTTATTGTGGTGTGATCTATTGTAAAAGAATAACTTTTTTGTGTACTATAAATATGTTAAATTATAAAATATTTAATTTCCTAAAATATGCAATATAAGACGCAATTTAAACAAACTGTAAAGTTTCATGTTAAGATTTCTACTGCTTTAATTGTCAGCTCAAAGGGTAATTATTGTATTGCTTTAAACTTTTTCATGTGACTAGATGACTGAATTTTATATACTGATGTGTTTGAAAGATTTAAATTTTTCCTAAAAGCCTAAAATAAAAGCAAAATAAATCCAAACAATTCTATTTCCACCTCTGGATGTTTTCTGGTTTGTTTCCGAGAGATTAAATGAGAGGAAAATCTAACTGCAGAGGAAGGCCTTGGTGTTTTCCACAGACTGAAACAGTGTAACCCTGAAGTACTCAGACATGCACGTACCCATTGTGTTAGGCTGGGTTAGAGCGTCTTCGTGCTTGAAGGAGTGGCCGGAGAACTGCGAGCTGTGGTGCGTAGGAGTGTGCCCGTAATTACCGGCTCCATCGAACGCCACCGTGCTGTAACCTACAGCAGAGAAAAGGCAGAGAGCACACACATCAGCACACCATTTTCTAAATACTGTAACCAGTGGAAAAGCTCAACAAAATGACGATGCTTTTGGACTTGAGCATATTTGTGAGCCTACAGAGTTTTACATGTGAAAATTTATTTATTGACATCATTTGATGCATTTTTATGCCTTTAAGTTTCCCAAGTCACCCAATTTCTGCAAGAAGTCTGCAACTTTTCTCACTTTAAATTATTTAATTATAATGTGTTTAGCTTCTATGCATCTTTGTGCATTTATAAAGTTGAGTTTTACCTAAAATAAAAGTAAACAGTTCAATGCACCTACATAATCTGGTTCCTGGCATTAAGAAGATCCACGCTTGACACCCTGGACCAGCCTCTGACTCATGACTCCAGCTGACCCCTAAAGGGCACCACTAGCTCCCATAAATCACTCCTGTGCACCGAGACACAGATACAAACACACTATCTCTCCCATGCTTCATTAATTAAAAATGCAGCACTTTCACCAACTTTCACTCTCTGAGTCAGTGGGTGAGCGCAGCAAGAAAAGGAAGAATCCTCATTAAACGCTTCCATTTATCATCCACTCACCCCTGACTTTTCTGTCTGTGTGTATCATCTGTCTGCGCATGTAGTATGATACTTTTTGTTGCCTCCTTGAAGTGCAGCACTGAGGTGAGAAGCTATGAGTTCAGTTTGTATTCAACTGGAAAACCTAAAGACTGGAAAACCCCGGTGGAATGCCCCAGTAGGATATTAGGCCTTAAATTAAGATTTCAAACCTTTTGTGCAGCTTTTGTCGTCACTTTTCTCTCTTTACTGCAGATAGAGACAGTTTTATGTTTAATATGCATTTCTTCTTTGCATATGTACCAAATTTCTGCCCCAAAGAAACTTTTTTATAGAACATTTACATTTGGGAAGTACATGTGAATGTGAAGGATTCCCGATGTGACCTCTCAATGATATGAGCTCCGCTGTGTGACCCGGGTCCTGCTGTTGGTTGGTTTGTTTGCATGCGCTCAACCAGCCACAGCAGGGTGCAGATAAAACAGGTTAGGGGGTCGGCCCGGCTCTTTGATAATAATGTTATTCCTGAATTATCTGCTCGAAAGCATGTTATTACTAATTAATTTGACGACTATCACTAATAGATTAATTATCAAGCAGCTTAGAACAGCTGGAGAAATACGTTTCTGGATGCATTAAGATAAAGTCTCTTCAAATGTTTGAGATCTAAATGTTTTTATTAAAACTGAAGGCAGGGTTGATCTATAACTAACTGAATATGTGTGCCATCTATCTAGAAGAATCAGATTTTATAAAATCCTTAAAACAGATATTTTTCCTAAATTTTGTGCCTTTTTTGTGGTACTGCTTGCTGTTGGAGACACATATGGATAAAGTGTAATTTGTGAGAAATGCCAGTCTCTAATAATGGAAATGATAAATTAGGAATCCTTCAGCAGATCATTAGCGCACAAAGGAGTCTGAAAAATAAGAGAAATTAATCCTGGCTTTTTTTTTTATTAAAAAACTCTTCATTTGAAAATCCATTCTTTGATTTTAGATTTGTAATTTGGGTACAGAAATGTTGTTAACGCCTTGAGTCTTTAACATTTTACATGTATGCATAAGTCAAGAAAAGGCAAAAGCAGTATGGCAAACTTAATATTTATAATTTTTTTCCCTGCTTTATTTCTTCTTTTCAATTACGAAGACAAACAGAAATACTGATATAAATCAATTTCAGCTTTTATTGACCAAAAGTCAAACTATCTTCGGCATAAGATCAATTAAAGTACATTTTGAACAGCTAACAACAGGTTGGCTCTACCACACGCCATCAAGCCTACAGTACGTGATGTACCATTACTTTTGATATAAACTTTTTTTAATGTTCAAAGATTTACGCTTCAATATTTCAAAATAAAACACAAGCGGCAGGACTCTGTATATCTCTATATATTGTCACTAATATGTTTTTTATTTTTTATTTTAATGTATCTCACTGCCATCAAAATAATATGATCAACCAATATGTGAAAAATACACGAATAAATAAATGAAAATAAATCTTCGGTTCTATTCTAAAAGTTTACGGTTATAGTATTAAAATGAAAAATCATGCGTCTGGGGGATGGAGTATGAGTGTTTTTTTTAAAGTTTTTTTTAAAAATAGAAAGCCATCCATAAAGTAGAAAAAAAAATCCCAACCCTAAATTTAGAAGGATATTGCTCACGGCTTCTCAAATGTGATTTAATCAAATTATAAACCAAAAAATAATAATAGTGGGAAATTTAAGGAACCATTAACCCCATAACATTTGTTACATGATCCTTAATATATTTGCCTCTGGTAAAAATCAAATTTAAAACCGAGATAAATTGTTTTAAAATAAGGAAAATCCTTTGTGGTGTGGAGAGAAAATCCTGATTCAAGTTTTTAAAACAAATGCTACTCAGTCTTGCATTAAAACTTTGTAAGCAGAGCTAAGAGGACCTAACAGAGGCTCTCTAAATAATTTATTTTTTGTGTCTACAAGCAGATGTAACACAACATAACCACATTCATGTAAAATGTTCACTTGTGGCTAAAAACTCACAGGGAAAAAGCTTTCTGCAATCTGCAAACAGACTCTTTAGGGTCAAACATTAACACCAAGTGGTTCCTCAGTTAATCATGCTTTGATCAACCGTGCTTCCCTGGAAATGAAACATTTTCACTGATTTTCTCCATAATTAACTGATTTTTTTTCTTTCGGACTGGATTTCTAGATAATTATTATGTATTAGGAAGTAGTGAACTTCGACATCCAGGATCTAAAGGCAACATCCACCATTAGCCAATCAAAATAACTTTATATCATGTAGGAGGCATCTTTAATAAGGAAAAACAAATCTACATGATTCATTAGAGCTTTTTTAACGTTTATGTAAATACATCAGAGTAAAGTCCCACTTGTAAATACTGAAACTTCATCAGATGATACTGTATATGAAATAAAAAGTGAATCTAAAATGGGGCAGATGTTTGCACTGCAGCCCTACTGTACCTGTCTGGTTTCGGGCTGCCGGCTGGGTGTCCATACAGCTACTCAGGTACGACGGGTTGCTGAACATCCTGCTGGGGGGCTGGTGGTGGTGAGGCGCTGCCACAGGCGCAGGCTGGTTGGGTGCCGTTGGAGCAGGAGGAGGGGGGGCCCCGAACGCTGCCCCGTACCTGCAGGCCCCCGTGCCCGTGAACTGACCCGAGAAATGCACTGTGAAAGCGCTGAGGCCGCAATGGGGGTCTGTGTCGTGGTGGTGTGGGTCCCCTGTGGCTCCCCAGCTGGGCTCCTGTTTGATGAAGGAGTGGGGCCCCAGAGAGGAATGGGGAGCAGCCAGTGAGGGGTAAGGGGAGGCAGCGGTGTGGAAGTCCAGGACAGGAGCCCACTGAGGGGCCGTGCTGACGGGCAGCGCTGTGCAGCTGGGACTGGGGCCTGGAGGGACCGAGGGCAGGAGGGAGTTCAGGTCACGAACCTCGGAACCCATTGTGGTCCAGGGACGAAAGCTTGGAAAACTGGAGGCAATTTTTAAATCAGTCCTGTCTCCTTTCACAAGGCACCTCTCGAATCCCCCAGAGACTAAAAACGCTCTTTCTAAGCTCTGAGTCCTCCAGACAGCGACTCTGGAAGCTCCTCAAGTCCAACTAAAGTTCATGTCAAACTCACTGCGGTTCAGCTTCCCCAATTAGGAGATACAGCAATCAGGTCAGACTTTCAGTTTCCATCCAGATCTATGAGCAAAAACAGAGTTTCACGACTCTGAGGGTCCATCCAAGGAGGAGAGGGGTCTCGGCTCACAGGCTTCCCTATGAATGAAGAAAGAAGAGTGGAGGAGTGAGGAGGAGTAGACCTCTTTTTCCTCCACTGTTTGCCTGAGGATCTGTGTGTGAGGAGGGTGGAGGAGGTGGAGTCAGGAGGTGATGTGGGACAGAAACCTCTGACTTCATTCATCTACTCTCCACTCACACCTTCAAACACACAGAGGCGAACAATTGCATTTATAAAAACAGATATTTCAACCAATTTCAAATTTGAATCTTATTATTAGTAAAAGCTGTGGGTCTTGATCAAATCATCAAAACTACATATTTTCCTGTACATTTCCTTGGACATGAATACTGTTAGTAATCATACTATTAATAAAAATAAAACTCACAAAGATGTTGCAATAAATGATTCCTAAAAAAAAATATCAGTGTTTGAAACATATCCAGGTGGATACCATCTGCAGAGACACTGAGGCCCCAAACCGCCCCTAATAAATCAACAAATAAAATTCACAATTAAAACGAATGCTGAAACATAGAACTGAAATTTTAAATTAGTATTCAAAAATTTCACGGTAATAAAAGAAGGGTGTAACGGTTTAATGAACCCGCTGGGAGATGAATCTTTGGGTTCCGCATGAGGGGCCCCGCATCATAATAAATATCCCGCTTTTACCTTCAGGCCTCTAGATTATTACCTATTCTGGACTCTTATTTTAATTTATTTGTAATAGATACAAATCTGAGTTAATAGGCTATATCTTTTAAGAACCCTGTTATAAAATGCTTAACTGAATGAAATTAGATTATTAAAAGCAGTTAGAAAGGTTAAAATACAAGCAGAGAACATACTTTAATTAGTAATATTTATAAAATAAAGAATAATCGAAATATTATAACATTTCAACAATCTGTTTAAAATTTCTTTCAGCTTAAAGGTGGAGAAAATTACTTAATCGCATTTCAAAGCGTTTAACCTCATGATCACGAAAATATCTTCCTGTAGATAATTTATACTTTTTTTTTTAGTTCACTGGAAAAAAAAAAATCTAAATAAATCTTTTTTTTTTTCTTAAAATAAACGCATTTGTCCTGGGATTGAGGAGATAAAATAGACACCTTACCAATGAAAAAAAAAAAAAGACAATTTACATTTAAAATAAAAAAACACAATTACATCACCTTATTTCAAGTGCATTTCATCTAGCCTAAATATCTTATTTTAAGAAAAAAAAATACTTATTCCACTGACAACTATCTCATTTACCTGCTCGAAATAAGGGTAAATACACTTAATTAAAGCGATTTGTACTTATTTCTAGATAGTTTTTCCAGCGTTGATATTTGTGTGGCGGCAGACGCAGAAATGGGCCGTTAAGCAGTGAGACTGATGGCTGTGAGGGAGGATAACGGTCCGCTTCATGCAAATATCCACAAGTTTTCTCCGCCTGCAGCGCGCAGGAGAAACAGCCGGCCGCTAAATCTACTCTTTCTTTATTAGTTTTATCTAAAAACACGAACCACGTGTCGCGATAAAATTATAACGGACCCTTTAACGAGAAAAACTCGCCAAACAGACCAAGTAAAAAAAAAAAAATCCGTTTTTCTCCCCCTTTGAATCTTCTTCACATAAACAGTATGGAGATGCAGCTTTTGCTGCAGCGCAACGTTTTGTGACCTGCAGGATAATTTAGGATGACCTGAGGGAGGAGGAGGAGGAGGAGGGAAATATGATGAAGAGAAGCAGCGTCCTCACTCTGCAAAGGAAACATCGCCTGTGAACTCTCTATTTTTACATCTTTTCAAAGAGGACTGTTTTTTTTATATTTTTATTTAAACGCCTTAGTCGCTGGTTCATGCAACAGATTTTATTACTGGGTGAATTTCTGCAGAATCAAGTTAGCCTAAATGAAATCCATCAGACCTATATTTTTTTGGTGTGTACTCACACCTATTATTTTTGGCCTGTATATCTACCCGTTGAATTTTCAAATTCTCAATGCTAGTTTGAGAAAATATTTTTTTTTCATGTTTGTGACAGCCGAACACAAAGCTGCACATAAAAGAAGGTTTGCTGAAAATCAAAATCTGAGTGTTTTGGTTTTGCATTCAGCTTTCTTCACTCAAAAAAAATATGCAACCGCTTTTGGCATTTGCTTAATCACATTTATTTAGTTTATCACAATTTTTTATGTCCTACCCTGCTAACATGCCAACTAAATATGATGAAGTAAATGCCAAGAATGGCCACATTATTTTTTTCAGTGTTGAGTAAGAACCACATTTCTCTGCACCTGCTGTAGTGTCTCCACCAGCTTTTCACAAATAGAGGTTAAAACATTTGTCCCTGAAGAACCAGAGAGGTTCTGAGAAGACCAAAGGCGGTTCTAGACAGGGGCCAACAGGGGCCAGTGCCCCTGTAGATCATGACCTGGCCCCTTTTATGGCCCCTGTACTGAAGACATAATACTCAAAGAAATTCGAATGATGATCTGCACTGGAACAGACATGGTTACTGATAGGTCCTTTGGATCCATTTCAGTTTTTTTCTTTACAAATTCTGTTTTACTAATTATTTAAAAACAATAAGGGGATAGCTTCAGTGGTATTGAGATAGGATCCCAGTTTTAATCTGCTAAAGTTATTTTTCAGTGCAAAAAAAAAAAAAAATACTCAGCTGAATTTATCCGTTTTTCTTGACTTCTAATTCAGATTTTATAGAAAACGGTATTTTTAACTTAAATTATGTCAAAATATGTAAAATTCCTAAATTATGAATGTATATTGACCTAATAAGACATAGAATTTTAATTAAACCTAACTGAATAGAATTTTCACTTCATACAGTTACTAATATATTTGAATCCCTTGCCCTGTTTTTTTTATTACATATATTTCTGTGCCCCCATGAAAACACGCCGGCCCCCTCCTGGCCCCCTGGTACATTTGGTCTAGAACCGCCACTGGAGAAGACAATCATTGTTTATGTCTTACCAGAGATTTCATTCACTGAGCATTTCTAACACATGATCATATCGTGATCATGTGATTATATTGAATTATCTGCGCTCTCTAATAGTTTTTCCTCCAGGATTATAGTGCTTTTATAAACGGTTTGTATATATTTGGTTTTATGGCAAACTTTAAACAGGGCAGCTTTTTTTTCTTTATGATGAGGTTTTCTTCCATAAAGGTCAAATATGTGGCATGCTCCACTATTCTTCCATCAGAGCTATGCAGTGTCCTCAAAGTTAACATGAGTTAACAGAGTTAACATGAAGTTCCGCTCTAAATAACGCTCTTCGGCTCATCAGTAGGCTTTTCATGTCTTGGTATGTTTCCATTTCAGCCATCCTCTTTCCAGGTGATTGATTGAAAGGAGCTTTGTGAGGTGCCCAAAGTTTGGGATGATGTTTTTATAACCTAACCCTGATTTAAACTTCTCTACAACTTTCTCCCTGACCCTTCTGCTGTGTTTCTTGGTCTTTGTGATGCAAATTGTTCACTTAACTTCTCAATGAGGCCCTATAAAGAACAGCTTACATTAAATCACACACTCCACTCTTACTGGACTCTAGGAGTATCAGAATATGAGGTATTAAGTATACCCCAGTTTTTTTGTTGACATTTTCTCAACAACTGAACACTTTCACAATCATACACTATTTTGCGTTGGTATAGGAAAAAGAATCCCATGAAAATACATGAATGTTTGGAGTCGTTACATGACCAAAAAGTGTAGAAGGGGCACAGAAGCTTTTGCAATGGTTTCTGTGACAAAAACCTGATTTATCTCTGCAGATCCGTCACTCCACATAAAAAAAACAACAAATTTTTATTTTTATCTCCAGCAGTCATGCTCTGTAACACATGCTTATAATCATAAAGACAACATTTAGAACGGATCTAAAAGAAAGTTTCATTTCAGAAAGTGTCATTTTGAAATTTCTGGATCGATTTGACATTGCATTGCATTTCTGACAGACCGTATGCATCATTTGCACCGCCAAATCTAAAACTATTAAGCAGATCTTAGCTTTAGAAGCATTAAGTAAAAAATTATGATTAAACGTAACAAACTCAACTTTATAGTGACGACAGTGGAGTAGGATGCAGGGGTTTATCCTGCAACTGAAAGGAAACGCCAGCTCTAACTGATTCAATAGTTGTGTCCTTGGTTATGACACCGGCATCGGCCGATCGGCAGCCTCACTTCTATGTGTGCCCCAGGTCAGCAGTGGCTACACTTTAGCTTCTCACAACCAGTGTGGGTGAATGAGTAACTGTTTCATGTGGGGTCACTGTTTCCTCCATAAGTAAGATTATTTGTCAGACATGAATTCAAAAAATTGTATTTCTAAACTGGAGGGATTTTGTTTCCCAACGAGTCAAAAACATCAGATTTAAATGTTCCTCAAAACAAACAAAGAAAACAAAAATAATCAAGAAAATTTTTATTTTGTCTGAAGGTTTAACCCTCAGGTGCCACCTAAAAAACTGCAGCTAAGATAATATTTTTAAGTCCAGCACAGATGATGAAAAGCATTTGCATTTTTAAGAGGAATTTATGAAAATCCTGTGGAGGATTTCCTTGGCGGGCTGGACAAACTGCAGCTCTATCAGAACATAACGATGATCTCTGACCTCCACCCAGTGATTTTACACTAAATAACGGCTTCAGAGGTTGTGAAAATAATGGCAGCATTTAGAGGCGGTCTGGTTTTGAATTTGATTTGCATGAATTGTTGGCAGAACAGAACATATGTTGGACCAGATGGCTTAAAGCTGACATGTTAAAACCAGCTTGTAATTTTCTGTTTTTAGTTTACGGCTCAGCAGGAGGCTGGTACTGTTGTAACTTTCTGTATTCTGGCCCTTTCACATCTCTTCCCGTTATACAGTTGCTGTGTCCTTGAGCCAGGCCCTGCCTGTGATCTGAGTCTGCAGGCAGGTTTGAAGTTATCTGATGCCTCCAGTGCTGCCAGCCCTCTGGTCATCATTGTAGCAAACAAATAAAAACACACAGAGACGAGCCATTACGTTAACTTTTTAAAAAGTTAATTCAGTTAAATATTTTTGACAT